AACTAAAAGCTAACACAAATATATTCAAGCAGATCTGGTTCTGGATAGGAATTTGTAGAAGTGTTGATTTTAAGGATCATGAAATTTAAAGTTGAAAAACAGAACAATTGTGAATAGGACATATTATTATTTAGTGGTACAGAACTACAACGAATCAGTGTATCTATATTGTGGTAGCATACGTATCAGTGTGGTGATATTATTGTAGAAGTAGGACTTGAGATATTTAAACGATAAGTAGAAGCGTTTTGTAATTAGTATTAGTGATTATTTAAAGATTGTTCGCGATATGGAATGACAATTTTGAAATGTCATTCTAAAAGTATTTGTATTGTATTTATTGCATGCTAGTTAACGACGTTAATTAACTTATTGCAAAGGGGCGTGTTGTAATACTATAGGGTCTATATACTGTAGAGGTTATTTAAGTTCCGTAAAAGATGCCCTGGTTATTGTATTGAAGTCGATAGCTAGTACCAGTGACAACGATAACTAGACTAACAAGGATATGGCTGGTACTTTAAAAGCGGGCAATGACAACAGTCTTGTAATCCAAATATGGTAATCCCATGCGTTAGAAACTTGGACACTCGCCCTCCTTGCCTGTACAAGTACACTGTGTTGAAATTCGGGGTAGCTTCTGCGCAGCTGAAAAATGAGATAAAGGCATACCTGACCACTTTCGGGGGGGGGGGGCTCGTGGACGTATCCTCTTTACAAAGAACGTCATGGTTTAAGGTTCTTTAGGAATCATTTCGTATTCTCAGAAGTACGTTTCCACAGCCTCTTCGGCTGAGAGGATGGGAAACACCGCCGAAAAACTTAAGCTAGGGGATAGAGAACAGGACATAAGACAAAAAATATTTTGTGTGACAGAGATAACCTGTCAAGGAGGCACCATAAGGCGGTGGGGGTGCATATAAGGACACATTCCCCACTATAATATGTCCATTAATACATCGAATAAACCATAAAACGTCCTCACGGTGCATGATAACACTAGTGTCTAATACTTTAAATCAAACAAACTTTCAAGTGTGATTGGATTTGTTGAGTGTAGAAGTTTAACAGTACTTCATTCAAATTTATAGAAACACGACAACCAAACGGCTTTAACTTTCTGATTAACTAAACTTTATTGTCTAAATTGTAAAATTCCAAGGCAAAAAGAAGTTGTTAAAATCGACCCTGACCTGAATAGTCAGATGTAGTCGCATCCGCTTGGGGATTAAATAATATGTATTATAAGGAATCCCAAATTAATAGAAACTAGGGCCAAAGCGATTAGTATAAAGAATGCCCGATCGAATATTTTGGCTATTTCTGGCCAGTGGTTAGAGCTAGTTCCGGAATCAAGGTTATCACAACAAGCATAGCTAGATGGTTCCAGATCTGTTGATGAATTCACAGAATGTTTGTGATCGGATTTAGGAAAATCCTTATAGTTTTCAGTGAAATTTTCTCTGATAAGAATCACTCTCAGCCATGTCGGTATTGGGGTTTCTTTGCTTCTGTTGTGAATGTAGAGGGTAGCTACATTACAGAGTAAACAGAGAAAGCTCATCCCAATCATTAATGCCACATAAATCACTGAAAAGAGAATAAGATATGAAGGTAAGTAAAGGGAAGTAATTATATTTTTGTTTACAAATTATATGGAAGTAAACAACTGGCTTCATTTATTGTATAAAGTTTGTCGCATATACTATGGCCATAAAGTGATCAGAGTTACTACCCTAGTAAAAGCAAACCCTACCTCAGCAGATTTACGGAGTCAAATAGAATCCCTTAAGTGATTACTAACAAATCGGATGTGCGTGAAAAGTCTTGTAAAACGTCAGGTTAAAAGGTAAGCTTCCGCGAAAGTGTCCCCATCTCTCCCGGTCATCGGTTATCACAAACTATACATACGCGTCGGGGGCCCTATCAGATTCAGTGTATTTCCCCTTTTCCAGCAAAAACATCAGAGAATAAGACCATATATCATAGAAATATAATTGTATGTTTGTTAAATGAAGTTGTTCGTAGCCGGTTTACGTTCTGAATACTAGACTACCTAAGACCTCGCGCAATAACAATTGTGGGAAAATTCGTTTTAGTTAATGATTGATTCATTCTGAAAATTTGGGTGACAAAAAAATAAAGGGGCAAAACACCTCAGCCCCCCCCCCCCCCCACATAACTCAGTTTGGCCCCCCTATGACAATGAACTAAAATATTGAAGCAATGGGTTGATATATTTTGCCATAAGAAGTGTTTGCATGGTTCGGACACGCGTTGAATATGAACATTTGCTTTAAAGTTTTAAGTCGCATCTAATTTGCTTTGAACGCCACAAAGTCCTCAGATTAATAAATAACAGTATTTCACACTGACAATATTCGAGGATACCTCAAATCGATGCCGAGCAAAGACGCCCTTCTTATGGACATCATTTAGGTCTAACTGTTTCGAGTGATCGGGTGGATGGATAAACGGAGTTTCCGTAGAAATATACTAACCAAAATAAGAAATACTGTTAGCTGTCTTAGGTAACAGATCATCTATAACACTCAAAAATACTGTAAGGGATAGCAACACTGTCATGGATACAGACAACTTTTCCCCGCTCTGTGAGTCAATGAGAAAACTGATGATGCACAGGGATGAGATACCCACGAAAGGTCCAACAACATTTAAAAGGTATAACGATGACTTTCGTTTCATTGTAAGGGTAAATTTTGATTCAGTTAGTTCATAACTTGGATTGCTAAATACCGGATAGAAAGCCTGAGTCACAGTTGTCTGTGTAATTGCAAAATCCCCATTAGGGGCTTCGAAGAGCGAATTGTCGAATTTCGGATTTTTTATGGTAATTTCCTGGTTTGTTGTCATCCAGGGCACGATTATTATGCTGCAAATCTGGGAATCTACTGGAAACAGCGACACGTCAACAACACAACTTGTACTTATTGCAAAAGTTGGTTCCCAATCAACTGTACCGGAATGATTAACATAAAGTCTTAAATCATCACTTCCGAACTTCAGATAACCACGTATACTGAAAAACAAACCAACAGTGAGATCGATATCCCCGCCGAAATCCCGAAATAAATAGATGACACATATTCATTAATTGCACATTTATCTTTTTCAAAAGTATCAAGCAGTCAAACTAACTATCTTAACTTAGTCTAAAGCATAAAAATGTTCACGATAAACTCAGTCAAGTTTTGAAGTACCTGGTAGTGAAACTATACACTACGTTTCATTACTCTCAATTAGTTATAATCAAAGTTATCTTGCCGCAAAGTATCGATCAATGAAATTGCTTTGCTCTGCTTCAACGGGAAATGTTAATAATTGACCTCGGTCAAGACATTCGCCTAATGAACATCTACACCAAGTTCAAACATTCCACCTCGATTAAACGCAGAGTTGTTATGGTCCAGATATTGATATAATGAATCTATACACGGGGTTTTATCGGTCTCACCCAATTAGAACCAAAGTTATCGTGTTCCAAGGTCTCAACCAATCAAATTACCTATCTCTGCTTAGCCTAAGTGGAAATGCACATGATCAAACTCTGTCAAGGCATTCACCTAATAGACACCTACACCAAGTCTGAACATTCTATTGAAGTCTTTATTTTGCCTAAGCAGAAAATGCTCAGCATCGAACGTTGTTAAGGTATTGATGCAATGAAACTACGCACGGAGTTTCACAACGATCACTCAATCAGAATCAAAGTTGTCCAGCTCCAAAGTCTTGACCAATCAAATTGCTTACCCGCATCCGAAAATACTCATTATCTAATCTAGTCAAGGTATTGATGCGATGAAACTATACACCAAGTCTCATCTCTCTCAATTATGAACTAAAGTTATCGTGTCCCAAAGCATTAGCCAATCAAATTGTTTATCTCTGCTTACCCTAAGCAGAAAATGCTCATCTTCGAACTCAATCAAGGCTATTATCACCTAATAAACACCTACACCGAGTTCGAACAATCTAGCTCAATTAGAAGCTGAATTATTGTGTCCCAAATGTGTGACGGACAGACAGACAAGGGGAAAATAAAACGAAAGATGGGGATTACACATAGTCTTAGGCATGTTCACCAATCCAAATATTTACTTTAAACAAGCACGTTGATTTTAAACTTGAACTTCAAAGGTCGCCGGTTGTACGTGACAAGGAGTAGGGTTGCCTGTCTGTCCAACCTCGTGGGTTTTCTCCGGGTCCTCCCACTGCTAAAGACTCCTATTTCTTCTTAACGTTCAGTATATTTCCTTGTTCGTACTCTACCTACATAATCTATTGATCAAAATCTGTCATTTTAAGATAGGAGACAATATAAAGTGTGTCCCTTTTCTACTTTAATATTTTGAAATGATTGTCGCCAGTTAAAACAGCATTATACAAAAGGTTTATATTTAGGCATATTTGTTTTTTGAGATGTGATATTTATATTACTTCACTATTGGGTATAATCATTTTGAAAGTTTCGCGCTTAGGCAGTTCACTCACTGTTCACTTGATTTTGCCAATCGATTTAAAGAATTTAAAGTTACAATTTCATATTTTCTAAGAAAGTCAAAACATAATTATTTCTATGTCTTTTGCTCAATAGGTTGTCAACTCACTATTATACGATCATAGGTGTCATTCTCACACTTAAAAATTAGAACACCGGAAATAATAACACAATTACCTCCCTTGTTTTCTATTCTCCACCATGGAGTAGCTATCTTCAACCGTTTGAATTTAAATTGGAAAATGATATTTTTGCCAATTTCTCAACTGGCTAGTGAATTATAGGTTTAATAGGTTTATTCTTTAACAAGGTAGGACTGTTTTTAGATACCATCTATTTTAGGGCTTCATTTTAATACATTTTAAAAATATAACTTAAAAATATGAAATTGTAACTTTAACCAAATTGACTCTTTAGAATTATTTCACTTTCAGGTATACATACCAATTTGATACATATAAATCGGGGAACCATATTTCTTTTTGTTGAACAGTTATCTCGAGAATACCACCATAATCGTCGGGATTCCATCTGAGTAGCTCATCTGTCCAAGACTAAAAGATATGTAGAATGCAACTTATTGATATAGATGGGAATATCCAGGTTATTAAGAAGCCTACAATATCAAATGTATTGTGATTTTCTATCTGGGACAAATATTTGTTAGGTTGGAACTATAATACAAACGGCCCTGTATACTTATCATTATGGGGTGTACTGCTGAATAAATAATAATAATACAAACTATGACGTAAAATCCCGATGTTCTCAAAACTTGTTCCCGTGTATCCTGAAAGAGCAAAAAAAAAAAAAAAAAAAATACAGATTTACATCACTAATTACATTTTCCAAATAAAAACTTTAATCCCATAAAATGGTTGTCCACGCACATTAAAAGAACCCTGTCTGTCCGTCACATTTTGTTGCTTACCTGTTGTAATATCTGTATTTGTGTGTACCTCCTTCACTTGCTATTTGCTTCTCACGGAGTGCAGTCATGAAACGTGGTGTATAGTTTAATAATTTAATTTGAATTACATCAATACCGTGACTAAGTTCCATTTGTTTTGCTAAGGTGTATAGTTTCATTGCACAAATACCTTGAATAAGGCCGATAATTATCATTTTGCTCTACAGAAAGATCAATGAGCTAACAATTAATGAATGTCATCGGTTTATTTTGTAATTTTGATTTCGCTCCATTTCGGAAGAAAGCTTTACTAAAGTGACACCGCTGTAGTGTGGGCGTATTTCCACGATTTGCGGGGCTATCGTCATTTATGATTAAACGCAAAAACAAATATCAACCTAACCTTGTGTTTGGTCGTGTGGCTTAACCGACAGCATGTCGGTAAGTTTAGTTATTATTTAGATATCAGTTCAAAAATCAATAAATTATTAGCGCGTTTAGTAGTTATTTTGTTAAAGGTTACCGATTACTTACAAGAATAATGATATCAAATTGTCTAAATAACTGATAATAAGCACCACCATTGCCTTCTATAACATTTAGAAGCCGCTTGTCGCATTGTCTACTATAATACTTAAGTGTCATACATTTATGTTAAATAATATACAACAGACAAATAAACAAACAAAAATGAAGCAGAGTGAGTGCAAGTGAGCGAATATACGTTTCGACCGCAAAGGTTATAACTCCACTAACCCTAACCAGTTAACTCGTGCGACCAAACACGTCGGTCAAGGTTTAGTTCGCGAATACCGAACAACAAACTTACTCGTTGTTCGTTATTCGCGAAGACCCACAAGCTAACTTTACGTCACTGTCCAAATTGTATAATATTTACCTACCAATCCCAGCAGTCTTGACAAATACATCTTTATTTCAATATCTGTTCTTTCAGATTGATTTATCTTGGGACGGGTCATTGCAGAATAATTTGACTTCTTAAAGAGATCCTCTTTTAACCTGTTAACGTCATTAATAGAATAACAATGAATACCTGTAATGATATATAAACGTCATGAATGTAATAACAATGAATACCTGTAATGATATGTAAACGTTTCGAATAGAACAATGATTAACAGTAATGATATGTAAGAGGGGGGTTTGTTAAAAGTACAAAAATCAATTCTAAGACCATGTCCAATCAAAAGCACTCTTCTCATCATTTCATTTCCCAAGCATCCCTAATATTTAGATATATTGGACCAAAAATTATTCGAAACCTCATTTCTAACTTAAACGTAATGTATACATAGATTGCATCAGTACACTGACTAGGTTCGATAATGACCATTTCAAGCAATTTACAAACAGATGATTGTACAAATTATTATGGCTCGTTTCTCTTGATTTTACACCGAAACTATCACCAATCTGATGTAAATGAAATTAAATGAAATGGGGTTTAACGTCCCACTGTTCTGCCCCTAACCTGGGCTAATGAAGACGGGCATACGCCATACAGTGTGCTATGAGGGAAATTTTGCCCGGGCAGCGGCACTATCGCCTACTCTTATATCGAATTCCAACTGCCAAGGGATCTTTTACGTGCATTCCAATGTATACACGGGACCTCGGTTTTTCGTCTCATCCGAGGGACTAGACAGCTGTCCTTGTCAAGCCCTCCGTTCTGCGCCACTGACAAGGGGAAACCACGTCGGAAAATCCCTATGAACTTTCTCGGCCAATGCAGGGATCGAACACCCGACCTCCAGGCTAGCGAGCCAGCGTCTTAACCAACTAGCCACCGTGGCTCCCCTGATGTAAATAACGTAACCATAACTCGACTATATTTCTCATTCAGATTTACCCAGCTCTTTCCTACAAAGATGTGCTATTTGTTTGTAATAATAATAACCCCTTTTTACAGTCAACTAGTAATAGCATGAGATAACAGGATTGTTATTACTGGTAACACCAATAGTGTTTTATTTCTAGTTAGCAGCTCGAATATATTTCAGTACATTATATCATCATGGGAGAAATATAATGCAAATCTTCAGACATGGCGACATGAAATATATTTCAGCTCTCTGTCAACGTGGACAAGCTAAATGGACCTATGAGAACAAATGACAGTCATACCACTGGTTTCTAATACATATTCAAATGGTCTTTAATTCTTTCGGGAGTTAAATGGCGAAATTATACACACATTAGCTCCAACGTATTTGCTACCTAGTCTTAAAAAAGTTCATAATTATGTAAACCTATTTCAGTTTGGTTCAGCAATATGTTTCACAAGAAAATTCGGGACAATCATGATGTTATACAATATTTGGACTTCATTAAAAGTTTCAATAGAAGAAAAGTTATAACCTCTGTTATATGGTCAGGTAACTTAAATGAAAAAATCGTTCACGTTTTGACAAGATCATGAACACTGGCATATAGGTATGTTTGTCTTTAGACCCCCCCCCCCTCCTTTAAAAAAACAACAAAAAAGTGGTCGTATAAAACGATACCGGTACAAAGCGTACACTATGCCCATCAAACAACAGCTTTGTGTTAGCGGTAGCATGTCCGAAAGGAAATTTAGATGTTCAGCAAATTTGATAAAGATCTGGTATAAATAAAAAAATCTAATCTTTATGGTTGATCCTATTATGACCCCATTGCTTCCAACCAAATTTGAAAATAAAATCTGTTAAAACCTATAGCCTCTATCGCGTTTACACAGTTTTCGATACACAGAATCAGGGGCACTTATCTATGAAGTTACGGTCGTCCCACATGCGTAGGTGTTCGTGATCATTCATGGTCGTTCATGATATGTTGCGAATCTTACGAACATGCTACTAAAATTAGTCAGCCAATTCTAACTTATCTGCTATTGGCTAATTATTATTAATTGATAGATTTATATTTATAGCCGGTAGTAGTGGTGCTTAACTTAGGTCATCAGCTGCTTCATTTACGTACAGTTTTTATGAAAGCACGATATCATTGGCTAGATTATCCGGCCTTTTACATTTTCATAAACAAAATCCATTTGATGCACGACAGTTCAATATCCAATACTCTTATTATTTTATTATAAAATTGCTCTCTTCACGGGCCATATCTATGTTTTTTTTTAAAGTAATCCCAATTCGTCGTCACGATTCATGTTTGTTTATATTATATTTGTGAATAACCAACCACATTAAAAACCAAACTCGCAGTTACGCATGTACAATTGACTTTTCGTCAAATATTGACAGCGGGTCCGACCCACCATACGTTGAAGACTAGGGGGTTCGGGGTGACCGAGACTACGAAACGACGTGATCGATGATCATAATTGCACAATTTCCAGACTTTGGAACATAACTCTGCTTTTAATTGAGGTAGAATGTTTAAACTTGATGTTGATGTTAATTAGGCGAATGTCTTGACTTGAGTTCCATGATTAACATTTCGAGCTAAAGCTAAACAGAGCTAAGCTATTTTATTGGTCGATTCTTTGGGTCCAGATAACTTTGATTTTATCTGATAAAGAGTGATGAAACTTGGTGTATAGTTGATAATCGGTTTGATTGCTTGATACTTTTGAAAAGAATAAATATGCGAATAATTAATATGTGTCATCTATTTATTTGCGGATTTCGGCGGGGGACATCGGCCTCACTGTTGGCGTGTTGTAAATACATGCATGTGTATTTTTATCTTTTCAGTGAAACCGTTCGTTCTTTCATCGTTAGTTGTAACCTGATGTACTGTATCATTTGTTTAACATACTGTTATTGTAACGTTTCATAGTACACAATCATCCAACGTCCATGTATTCATTAACGTAATACCCACCTTCATTGTCATCATGTTGAATGAGTTTATCAAACATGGGTACAGGAATAAACGATTGATTTTTCTACTTTTTTTAAATTTTTAACGGACAGTCATTGCAGGAGCAATAGTTTTTTTTACACGTGTTCCAGAAGAACAGAAAATCATTTGGTGTGGCCGTAGTGTGAGACTTATCATTATGCCAAAATATACCCCCATTATGAATTATTTCTTGTTTGTATTAAAATATCCTGTTTTCATTAATTCTACAGATATATTAGACGTGGTTCGTTTAATTTACTTAATATAAAAAAGTCATATTTTCACATGAAAGTATTTTTTTTTAATAAGCTTTCAGTTTAATTGCATTCCTTCGTTGTTCTACAAATATAACATACCACCCCAATCAACCACATGACCTTGATTTTGATTTACTATCTTAATAAAAAGTTATCCGATATCTATCGTTTAAATACAAATACTTTAAAAGATAAGTATAAAATGTTTATGAACTTACCAGAAAAATAAAACAAAACGATGATCATAGGCATCAACATTTCCTCTGTTAAAGGTTATTTCCTATTATGCGTACATCCTATGGCGCCGAGTCGTATATAATCAGGCTCGTGGGACTCAACTGACGCAATTAAGCGTTTTAGCAATATGGTGAAATGGGTTTATTAATTGATATCTTTTAAAGGTAAAACATTCCCGGAATTAATAATTGAATGAAAAACAAAGCAAAGAACTATATTATATTAACAATAACATGCCAGAATAAAACTACTCAAACAAAATGAAATCGATCGATATAAATTAAGATATTAGTATTATTAAAAGTTGTTTATATTAATTTCACATTAATGTCTATAAAATCCTATCTACGGCTTAATTCGCACTAAAATGCAATCAAATTTACTATTTAACATTTGATAAAGAAAACAAAATCAAACTAGACCTTTGATATTACTGTCCGTAATTTGTGTGATTACACTAGGGAGTCCATATGTTCATTACAATCTATTAGTCGAGTAGCAGGGATGTATTACAATATCAAATATCAAAAATTAAATTTAGGTAACCCAGTGCATATTATATATCGTTAGAATCGTAATTACGCCATCTATCTAAATATATAAATCTTTTTAGAAAATGATAGTAATAATAATTTTAGTAATAACACATGGATTCATGTAATCGATATCTGGTACACACTTTACTATCTAATTTTGTCTAATACAAAACACAAAAATCATATTTTGCCGATAGCCCAGACGAGAGCAGGACGACCGTGTTTTATTAACAAAAAATTATAAATGAATGAATACGTTAATATAATACAATTAATGAAATAAATGAATACGTTGATACCATACAAATAAAGGAATATATGAATGAATAAGTTGATATATAGAGAATCTCCTACGAGTCTTTTGATATAAAAAAAAATATCAACACAAGTCGATAAAGAAAAAAAAGCCCCAAAACAGGCTCTACCGAGTTTTCTTTTTACTTTATCGACGAGTGTTGTATCAAAAAAGACGAGTAGGAGATTTTATTTATCACCCAATCCCTTCTTACATGCACAAATAAATAAATATAATTCTTTGCTATAGATTTCACTTTTACTGAACCCGATTACATTACGGCGTAGTGATACATCATTTTTTTGATAGCAATTCAAGGCCAATTAAATAAAAATAGTTCCTTTTTAATAAGAAAGAAGTTACGTTTAATAAAAAATGAACTGTTCTTATAAAATAAAAAAAAGTAGTTCCCTTTTGATTGACCAATCAAATTGGAGATATCGCAGTAGATTATGAAATTAATCACACAAGCGATATCTTCTGTAGAATGTATTATCGGGTGATAAAATACAAATAATGGAATATAACAATAATGGAGAATATGAAGAATAGATTCTAAAGTTATTCCTGTACAATTTACTATCCAAGACGCTAATTACAATGACATCAAAATAGTGCTAAAGCAGTGATACATATTGATCTAAATGTCGACTTACAAGAATAACGAACATGTTATACTTTTATCCATCAACGATGACCTCGCCGGCCGGGAAAACCAGAGATAAAGAGATTTTTTGATCAAAAAAGCTCTGGAACCTGGGTTCGAATCCAATGCAATAATCGTCTCCGGAGATATACTCGAACGGTATAGAAAATCTTTGATATAAACAATAACTGTGATCAACTTTTGTTGTTGGCAATTCAAGGTAGACTAGAAGAAGAAATTACTTTTTAACTCCCACCTTTACCACGTGACGCAGATCACGTGCCAGTAATTTAACTCGTAACGTTAGTACAATAATTTATCTCTATACTTCGAAACTAGGGAAATTTTAAGTACACACTTTACTATTTAATTTTGTCTAATACAAAACACAAAAATCATATTTTGCAAATCACCCAGACGAGATTAGGACTATCGTCTATAAGAATAAAAGAAAGGGTCGAGCCATGGTGAATGTTTTGCGAAGTTAATAATAATTATATAGAACTATTAATTATGATAAAAAAATAATTAAAATGTACTATAAATTCATCTGTAGATATCTAAAGCCCCAAACTCTGGGATACCAATAATCTATTTTCTATGGTGTCTAATACATATCCGTCCTTACTTATATCGGATTTCCATCTCCCATGCCTCCTAATACATCTTTCGTTTATGCGTGCACGATCAGCCTGGGTTGCGCCTCAGAACCTAGGAGATTGCAGGCCTATATTTAAATTTACAGATTTTAACGAAGACACTTTGTTTTGTCTTGTGGCAGTATAACTTGATTTCTTATTTTTATAAATAAGCTTCGCTAAACCTTCCGATCTAAATATTGGCCGGAACACGAAATCTGACGAATCGAGTTCAATATTGGCAAGAGCAATATACTTTTTAAACATGGTGACTGGACACACAGTTCCCGTACGAAATCAAAATTTAATTTCCTTGTCTATACTGATCTGTTTTACTGTTACAAATAAATATTTTCAAATAATCGTCATTTAAACTAATGCGAAACCGATCAGAATCATGGTTAGGTTCCGTACAATAAGTAAATCCTCGCAAGGTTCATATTTATTAACTAAATCTTTTAACATTTCTGGTGTGACCGGATCCTTTTTGTGAACAGCTTTACCGTTTAGCCTCTTGCTGATCTTTAGAAGGGATCTAACATGAATTATTTGAAGGATCGGAATGACCATGCAATCCGTGCACCCATTTTATGGCAGATTCGATAGTACCTGGTGAAGATTTGCCGTCTATCAATGAAGCTATATATAACGCTACATGTAATGGATCGGCAGGCACTGCTGGTTGTCCTAGCGACATAATAAATGCTTCCCAGCGATTCAATGAGGACATGTATTTCTTTAATGTGTTTTTACTTCTAGATTCCACCATTTTTTTTTTGCCAGCGTCTTAGTTTTGGTATCTCCATCTAGGTGTATCCCGCTTTGCTCAACCACAGACTTCACTCCATCTGTTAAATTTATTCCTACATATGACAAAACATAATCAAAATTCTATTCTGAGTGCCAATAAATTAAACATAAGAGGTCTTTCTCCAAATTCTTTCCCCCGCCTCTTATAATAACTCCAAATCTTGGCAGGATTCTGATTTCTTTGATAAAAGGACGATTCCATATAAGAGGCCAAAAGGGTGAGGATTTCTAATTGCTTTGTCCATCACAAATTTATTGATTGCTGCAGGAATCAAAACAGGGTGTTGGACAAGCCAATTGTTATCGTTTCACCAAAACTGTCCCAACGCGTTAACCGCATCAGTGTTAGGACACCAAACTTTTGAATTAAACCTCGTGCACTGGGCATTATAATGAGATGTGCGAATCTATCTATACCATATGGACCCCAGCACCTAGTGAATTGGTGAAATATACTAGGTACTATACTCCAGTCATCATCGACCTGTCTGCTTTCTTATTTTGCTCCCTCGGAACCCAGACTGCGTTCAAATTTATATTATTTTCGTTACAATTATATCCGATATCTGAAGCCATACAATGCAAGTTCATTTTACTACTACCGGCTTTAAAAATATGTTCAACGTTTTTCTTGTCTGAAGAAACAATTAAACGTTTTTCTGAACACCAGCTAGTTCTCGCTAAGTGGAGTTCTGAACTCTTTCGTGATTGTGCCAGTTACCAAAAACCTCGCCGCTCTCAAAACGAGCGTCCAAACATGCGGAAAATTATCCACCAAAGCCTACATCTGAGGCTAACAAAAGACTTCAAAATCAAACGTGTTTTCTGCATCGAGGTTGCAAATTTCCACACCGAACTATTGAGATGTCTTAGAGAATTGTTCCAAAATCGCAGTTCTCCTAAAGCCTCAGGTGCTATTTTGACGGAAGCGTTCCAACTTGCTCTCCCCAAAATACAGTCATAATATATAAAAAATCTTGTGTTAAATCTAACAATAGTACCAAAGACTATCTGCATTGATATTAATTTACCGACAATACTGGCCAAAAATCTTGCCCTGAAATACAACTGCCCTCCGTTTGTTGCACTAAAAACACAACTTATACTGCTTTCAGCGCTTCTGATATCAAAAAGCCTAATCAAATCAAGGTCTCTCTCACTATTCTAGCGGATTGTGAACACGAATCGCTTGTACTTGCTCCGCCTAATCCGTCGTCAAGAAACAATAATTCTTATACCGTTAGATCTAAAATACTTCACTACCTTTGTGAAAATATATCCTGCGGTTGACAGTCCGAACGGCAATACGTTAAACACGAAAAACCTCGTTCTACCCTCAATATGCCAAGCGAAACCCAAAAAGATTCTATAGTCTTCACATATTTCCAAATGATAAGCTTGGGATAAATAAAAAAAAAAAAATTTTTTTTATCGAAAAGATGCCTTGCCGCTTTTGTGTCCTCATATTGAAATCTGAATTTGAATAAATGTGAATTTTTATGACGACAGCCCAAAACAAGACGCAATTTGGTCATATTGGTGGCCACTGTCAAAGGGTTAATTACTTCAGGTTTATTGAAAACTTCTGAATTTCGGAGTTTACAAAATCGGGGTTGTCTCTTGCTGATTTATTATTTCTAAGAAAAACCGAATCAGTATTTGTTTTAAAGGGAACTTTATAGCCATATTTGACAATATCGATGGCATTCTGATTTGTTGTGATTGAATCCCACTCATGTGAGCGTGCTCGAAGTTTTCCGACAGGTGAATTAATTTTACTAGTTACACTTAAAGACGGCTCGACGCTAATACTACTATGCGTAACAAGTGTCGACTGACTGCCTCAATAAGGTTTCGGTTCACTTTTACAACCGTGCATATTAATTAAATAAGCTAAATTATCAAAAATACTCATCTTGGACTTCTTTTCTGGACAGCTGTCGGACCAATGGCCAGATTTACCACACGAAAAATATCTCCCCGGCTTGCTACTACTAGTAGAAGCCTCGTCTCTATCTTTAAAGATGCGACTGTATGGTGTTCGTTTCGTTTTAAGATTTTTCACTTTCTCTACTGGATGTTTTCTTTCTGCTCGGTTGC